TATTTCAAATAATACAGTCTTCCTCTGCAAAGTAGCTTATGAGTTTGTAAGAGGGTGAAAACGAGAAAGCTGCTAATGACGGTTCGTTTTCACGTCTTTCAGAATACCCATTCCACCAGTCACAGAATTTTGGGTACGGCACAGAAGATGGGAAACGCCTACTCTACCTAGTCTCTCAGTGCAGTTCTCCGGTTATCGTCTTCCTGTTATTTGTTGACCTCCAACGCATTTTTCCAACCTGAAGCGTAAACTGGTAAGAATGAAGGGTGCTTAATGCGTGTCCTGACAGGTGAAGTCTAGTTCCCCAAATTCGGTATGGTAACGAATTTCGCACTGAAGCAGTTTCCAGTTCTGGAGGGCTTAGTTTTCCGTTAATAAACAGTCTGCTTCATTTTTTCTGCTCCAAACTACATGATCATTAACGGTAGAAAGTCTTCAGTCATTAGACAACTTCCGTATACATACCTAGAACATACATACATATATACATATGCAGAAAAAATACGTATTTTATTACGGTACATAACGCTCAACCCTTCGATATAGTTGCGGTCACCTAGGTAAGGAAAGCCCGTCATAACGGTTGACTTCTGGTCGTCAAAATCCAGGGCAGGAGTAATCAACATTCAGTCGCTCAGCAGCACAATGGTGCCCTATTTCGCCATTTCTGTTCCTTTTCGTCATATTGAATGGACAACTGGAGAAAAACTGTGCGATTTAAAGTACACCGATGACATCGTCTGCCTGTTCGAGTGCAAACAGAACGCGCGAGGCGCTATTGATATATTAATAAGTGCCGTTACCACATTCGGTATGTGGTTTACACCTTCAAAGTGCAAAATGATGCTGCAACATTGGTTGTTGCCTACTCCCGCTTTGAAGCTAAAGACTAGGAATTGGTTATGGGGCTTTTCTTGCTTTTCTTATTTAAGTAGTTGTGTAATCAATGACAGTAGCGCAGCAAAGGAGATGACCACCCGCATTTCCAAGACTGGAACATCTTTGGCGTAGACGCGACGTTCAACTGTATTTGAAAGATCGCGTATATAGTGCTACCGTCCGTTCAGTTGTGTTTTATGGTTGGGAAATATTGAATTTGCGAATACGGGATACCTATCGACTAGGAGGTTTCGACTATTGCTGTTTCCGTAGTTTGGCCCACGTGGGATGGAGAACACAAGTTGGTAATCTGGAGCTATGTCTTCGTGTTTATCACGGTTAAACTTGCTAGTCCAACGAATTCAGATTATTTGGCTTTGCTGGTTAGAGCACGTATTGTGTATGCGCAGATGTCATCTGCCGCACCGCTTTTTATTTGCTGCAGCCGCTCCGGGCTGGATAAAACCATGTGGAGATCAATAGATGACGTGGAGACGAGGCATGAAGAGATGTAAAAAGCTATCAGATAGAGTAAGTGTTTCTTGCCTTCCTGGTTGGGTTCTGAAAGATTCCACAACCGGTTGGTTGGAGAGAGTGGCGTTCTTGTTGTCATTTCAGGCCAGAATGCTTGAAGCGGTGTGCATGCATGGTTATATTGTATACTCCGTACATTGACCACTAACTTTGCATACGTTGCAACTTTTGGCAGCAATCAGCGAAGTTCGCCTTACTATATTTCGCTGTAATATAATGATGTACACTGATTTAACGAATACTCTTAAACGCACGTACTGAGCGTAGGGAATCAGGTGAAACCTTTCCAGTAAAATGTATGCTAGTACCCTGGATAACGGCAGCGGCACATACCACCATGGTGCAAAGGCATTCATAGGAAATTAATCCTGAATACTATTGGTAAAATTACTAAACAAACCATTTGCCTACTGGCATCTTAGCAGGTATAAATGAAACTCCCTAACAGCTAAAAAGCAGTAAATTAGCAAACAGTTCGCCACACAGATCCGTGTTTATAGTGTAAGAATAAAAGGGGCTTTGATCAGAAACATTCACGAAAGTTGCGTAATGAATTGAAAATGTCAATTATGTATGTGATCTACAGGTAACTTACCGCATCACATTTGCGATGCGTATATACACGTCACGTCGAAGATTAAAGCCTTCACTCTGAAAGACATCATACAAAAGGAAGCTGTTTTTCACATGACGGTTTTGGTCGGAATAGAACTTACACGTTTCCACTGGCCAACTGTACAATTAAGGGAATCAAAATAAGCGACAAGGATGACTTCATTGATAGCAGAGCAATGCTGAAAAGAATAAAGATATTTGGAGAGGTCAATCGGAAGCCGAAACGAGTTGGTATGTTTTTTACTGAGGTATTGACTATACTGTAAAACTACGAGACGCGTCCATCAAAAGAAAGAGGTTGACAATGTTTTTTTCGTATTCCTTTTTTAAGATCCGTGGGGTATATATATATTGAAAATAATAAATTCAAAACGTGTTGTTAAGTACGTTGTTTAAATAAAGCTTATTATCAATTCGAATCAATTTTTAAAACTCGTAATGAGTCAAAAGACTCAAACATATGTCTCGTCAGTCCAAAAATGTCCAGCTCAGTGTACTCACGTGCTGTCAGCAAACGTTGAACCAGAAAACATTGGTCATCATAGTTGTCAATGATTGATTCTTAGATTAAACCAACATTTATTTTTAATTGCCTCTAGGTAAGACGGAGTATTTTATTTTGATTTTTGGAGCCTTTGTTCATAGAGATAGATTTTATATACTGCTTTGTGTTGTTTATTAGTTTACCTTCTCCGATGCATGCTGAACTAGATAATTTGTTCGCAAGCTTACATCATCAATGCTTCGTGTTCTGCTTCTGGAAATTCGTTTATGTGGGCTCCCTTTTAGCAAGTCAATTCATTATACGCCCTACTTACCCACATTACCTACTGAACTAAAGCGGAAGGGGTGATTTTGGCATTTAGAAGCCTTTTGATGGGTTGCAGGGTCATCAATAGCCCTCAATTTCGCTGTATCACTTAGTCCATGAATGAGATTGACATATTTGATTGTTTCAACTTAGATCGTTTAGAATACGTGTAACTTTTGACCTGTTAGGATTTTTTTGAAATTATCAAAACTGGAGTAAAAATATTTTATACAACTTTTTATATCGAGAATTTCCTAAACCATCAAATTTCCTACTCACTGATCTTCTGCATTCAAAATTCAAAACAAACTTTATTCTGAATGATAATTCAGTACGACTTATCTGCTTCTTCTTGATTTATTTCTTTTACATTTTGTACAACTTTATGTAATTATATGTTAGTGGTCTTATTGATGATAACTGTGTTCCTACTACCCAGATTCTGATAATTCACTCCGTGATGTATGACATATGATGTATGCGTGATGATTTGGCTTAGCATCAGGTTTCTACCGTATCAGGTAGTGAAAATTATACTTTTTGTCGTCCTTAAAGAGAACTTAACATCTCTACGAAATGCATTGTATCTGCGATGATACCTTGTTATCGAAAAAAGATTCTAAATACTTGAATACTCGAAATTTAATATATTTAAAATTATGATAGGCTTTTCTTTAGCTAAGACATTGATTATCACTTCATATCTACTCATTTTCTTTGACTTGTTTATAATAACTGTATGTTTCAATTAGAATTAACCGCATCACAAAATATTCTCAATTTGCTGCCACTTGTTTTCGAGAACGAATTCGCTCTCCCATATCGTCATTGCCTGATTACTGAATGTTATATATTCTAAACGCATGTATGCCAAAGCGGAAAAGTTTGTTCACAATTGATGGGTAAAGCGCATTCTTATGCTGACTTGACTTGGAGATAACTGAAAATGCTATTCATCGACTCAATTATATAGATCAGTAAAATCTCGAAAAATGTTTCGAATAGATCAAATGTTTCTTCCTTCCGGAGATCCCTAGCCTCATCCATTTTATCGAAACAGCTCTAAATTACATTTTGTGTCTCGCTCAGTCCTCAGTATTTAATTGTATTCTTTATTAAAAATTTAGCTTTCATGTGTATCTTTTTAAGGTCGAGGATGGCTACTTTCCTCTTGTTGAACACGGAGACAATTTAGTGTGCCAACCCATTTAATTGACATCTTTTTGTCGTCCAAATAACGCTGCACAACGAAAATTCCTTAATCACCGGTTCAGCAAGATCATAAGAATTACCGGGAGAATCAGTGAATGAAAAATCTAGAAAGATAGGAGTAACTGCTGCCATTGACGATAGCAAAACTATTTCCATCTTATTAGGACCATCGGTTAGTAAAAATCAGGTGTGGTTTTTCATATAATTTTCCTAAAATAGTTTACGAGTACTCTAAAGTGGATTGATATTTATTCCCGTTTACGAGTGAGAAAACCACTATGGTTCTAATGTTGGCAAGAATCCTGGGTTGATTATGGGGAAGCAAGCAAACTCCGTGCGCATTTTATGAATTTTACCAAACTTCAAAATAGGAGATAGATTTTCTTATAAAACAACAACTGATTCAGTGTCATTAGCCTTGCCCTAAGCCTTCTCTCTGACATTTTTGCTGAGCTTAACTAGCGCTCCTTTGAGGATCAAGCTGATTTCCAATATGAACAGAGAATTATCGATCACAAATTTACTCTTCGTCGATTTGTAACACAGAAATTCCTTCCGTTAACCTCATAATGTCGTCTTTCTTAAAGCTAACATCTAATCTCAGTGACTGGACTATTCTATTTCACTGCCTCTCCAAGAAGGGTGTTTCGGATAAGTTTGCTCCCTGTTGCGACCTTTGTGCGCTAGCGGTCTGAATGGGTTTTGACATTACCGATGTTCTTTTCTAGGATCACTACGGAACGAGATGGTCATCATGGTGCAACTGTCTCTTTCTCTCTATTTTTCCTGTCTTGTAACGGCCCCGTACTTGTGCAACAATAGCGGCTTCCGTTTGCTCCCAGCTAGTAAGCTGTCCGACCTGTAGCCCGCAGACTTCGTACTGAATGGACAAATAAAAATTTTCCCTAAAAAGCTTGGGTTGAAACGAGCTATAGTTCAGTATGTGAGTGATTCAAACCATTTATATATCATATATTATGAATTATAAAACTGTGCAAATTACTCTTCAATGATGAGCTTTTAAGTTAACTAACGCCCAGGCTATCTTGTGACAGCTAGCACTGACTGGCTTCTCGAAAGTCAAAGTACACTGTACGCAGTTTTAGAAGCTGCAAACATCCACCAACAACACAAAAATCTGGGCAGTGGTGGTCAAGTAACTAAGATTATCAAAATTTCGACCTGGAAGTCTCAGGTTTAAACCGCTCCACCACTAACCATGTTCCTCATTGCAGGATATGTTTGATAAATATTAGGGGAGTTTGACATAAATAATACCCCGGGACCCGATGGTATATACCCTGCTATTGTGAATAAAACTTGCTCAAATCTTAGCAGCCCCTCAAGGGTACTTTAGAACATTTCTAGAGGGCGTGCTCCCAGGCGACTGGAAAACTGCTGCCGTGGTGGCTTCACACAAAGGCAATGGTAGTACTAATCTATAACACTACAGACAAGTTAGCTTGAGCAGTATTCTAAGCAAATGCATGAAAAAGCTAATCAGGGCCCACATTTGTATCCACTCCTTAGAGTATGCATAACTTAGTGACACTCAGTATGGGTCTTGCCTAACTAACTTGTTACGCTACCTAGACGAGATCACGTAGAGGGTAGATTAAGGTAAAACAGAGAGATATGTTATCGTGATTTTAGTGACGTCTTTGATTCAGTAAATCAATAACTGCTGCTAAATAAACTAGGTTTCTTTGGAATCACAAGAACATCATATCAATGAATGAGAAAATGTCTGACAAAAAGGACATTCCGCGTCCGAATGGAAAACAAACCTCTTTAGTCCTTCGCGTTACTAGTGGTGTGCCAAATGGGTCGATATTAGGTCCGCTTCTATTTCTGTCGTTCATGAACGATCTGGCAAAGATTACCAGCCAGCAATCTGCCTAGAACTCATTAACCGAGGTAGTTGTCTCTTCGACGACGACAGCGTGTTTCAAGCAGAGACTAGGTAAATTGGTGGTGAGCCCCTCTAGAGTACCCTTGAAGTAATGTTAGATGAATCTCTGGATTGTCCACGCAGTAAACTTGGCAAGGTGTGGAAATCGGTCCAGCAAACTGTCTACACGTAACTAAACTGCAACATCTCCAAAAGTAACCTATCAATCGCTTTTTGCTCACATTTTCAGATTGCAAGAATAAACGGATACAAAGCAGAAATTCCACAGCATCAGACTTTACCGTATACATCAAGAAACAGGTGAAACTACAAGCCAACGAGCTTTCTCCGTCTATACACCAGACATTGGAAAATGCTTCATCTTCGCTGATATTTTAAAGGTGGTTGGATCTAGCGGACGAACCGACTTGGAAGAATACATCGCGAATATGGTCGAGTGGTCTGACACACGTAATC